CCGTAACTTGCCATTTTCCTTCAGAATTGATGTGTCGCTTGCCAAAATTTTTGAATTTTGGGTTTAGGCCCTTTAGGCCCTTTGAGGCACGGGTTAAAATTTTTTTAAAATTTTTTCCTTTTAGGGGGTTCATTTAGGGACTACATAGAAACTTTTTAGGGGTTGACCAACTTGATTTTCGCAAAACTCAAAAATAAGGCACACCCTACCGCGCGCCACTCAAGCGCTCTCGCGGAGCGATCTGGAACCTCTTGTGCCCGACTACCCAGCTTTTTAGCGTGTGCACGATGGCTCAGTCGTTCAGACTTCTGAGAAAAAAGTCGGTTATTTATTATTTTAGCTTAATCAATTAATTGTTTTCACCAAATTCACTAAAGAAAGTCGCGAAGCTAATCTAGGCAAGTAGTTTGATGTAAAAAAAATTTATTTAATTGTATATTTAACTTACTGGAGTCGAATGAAGTTGGTCGACGCGCACGGAAGCTAGATGAAACGGATTTGATGGGGTCCCGATCGGTACATCACCACCTTTATCCGACGGTAAAAAAGAGTTGCGAGTTCCTATTCTGTCTTCGGATCCGTTCTGTTGCAGAGATGTACACGTGATGAGTAGCACGCTTGTAGCAGAATGTTTTCCTAACTCATGGCTATTATTTACCTGCGTGACACATCCATTTGCGGGTAGCTCCTATGGTAAATTTTTGCATGAGCTTTCCAGTTATTTACTTCGAGATTTATTTAAAGTTAAATTTTATTTTTTGTACATTCAAAAAATAAATCTCTCGTAATTGATCAATTTCCAAGTGTGCACGTGTTGAGTAGCACCTGGAATTTTGGTTGTTATTTGAATTTACTTTGAAAACATTTATTTCGAACCGTAAATCCGCCATTCAAGATTGAGTGCACGTGGTGAGTAGCACCGGTTGTTTGGGAGATTTATGGTCAAATAAATAGGTAATCAAAAGGAAAATTCATTCATTCATTTTAATGTCTCTTTTACCGTTCCTTGCAAAGTAATTTGAAAGTCAATCCGATCAACTCATTCGTCTTCAACCATCCTAATTTTGATCTCGCATTTAGTTTATTTTTTTTGGTTTTGAGAATTTTAAGTTTGTAATTGTGTTCAAGAGATAGTTTTCTTTTCTCGTCAAGAAAAATTGACTCTAGTACGTTCAAATTTGCTCTCATTATTCCTTCCTGCCAATCCTGTCCTCACCTCAGGAAAATCACCCCATTATATTTTGATCACGCACTTCAAGTGTGTTGGCGCCCGAACCCAGGCGTCCCGACGAGCATCTGGCACCCGAATTGTGGCATGATCTGCTGAAGCTCGATCCTTTCCGGAAGGCTTGCTTTCTGACGATCAGGATCGTACGAGTTCTCGCTTTTCCTCGCCACCCCCCCCCCCCCCNAAGAGCGACGCGTATTTTATAAACGGTTCCATATAATTATTGTAGTGTTGGTTAGGTAGAGTCCCTTTATACTGAGAGTCAAGACAATGTGAATCCATATCTGATTGGTTCCCGTATTTTAGGCCTTCACAGTATCACAAAAGGGGAATAAAGAGTACATTTTCACCGATTGCAAAGATTATAATCTGGAATGGACCAGGGAATTACGGGATCGGCAAGGAACAAACGGAATGAGAGAAGGAACGGAGAAAGGAATTTGTGAATAGGCCGATCAAAGATTACAAAAAACGTTCAATTTCTGTAATCTTTATTCCCGTTTGTGACTCCGGGGGTATTGTCTTGAATCTCAGTATAAAGGGACTCTAGTTTTGGTGGCGTTTGTAGTCCCTGGTGACGTCACCAGAGGTTACGTTTTCGCACTAATACGAGGGTCATCCAAAAAGTAAGTTTCCCTACCTTGTATCTTCCGAACGAAAAGAGATAAATCAAATCGGTAAAAAGGCACATATTAGGCATACTCTAAGCTTTAAAACAAGCTCAAGTTTTTGAAAATCGGTTGAGGGATTCGCGAGAAAACTTAATTTTACTGAGACAACCTCCTGTCGCAGCGTGCCCACCTCCGGGATCAGGATGCGCGGAGAGTCGATTATAGAAGACTCGGGTTATCGCCTCTATACATCACATCAACAAGAAATTTTAAAGTTTTCATTGAGTAGGCCTTACCTTACTTTTTGACATAGTCTCCACATCTTTTTTGATATTTCTGGTATCATCATAAAAGCTGTTTGGTGCCTTCCGCGTAGAAGCTTTCGCCTTGATTCTGAAACCAGTCATTGACAGCGATCTGTACCTCTGAATCGGTTGAAAATCGCTTCCATCGTGGAAATTTTTCCGCTCGGGAACAAATGAAAGTCACATGAAGCTAAAGTACGAAAATTTGAAGGATTGGGGGAAAATTTCCCTACCCAAAGCAACTGATTTGGGATTGCAGATCGCTGTCAATGACTAGTTTCGGAGCCAAGACGGGATCTCTACGCGGAGGCGTCAAGAAGCTGCTGTAATGATACCAAAAAAGTCAAAGAAGATGTGGAGACTACGTTAAAAAGTAAGGTTACTACTACTAAGGTAGTTACTCAAAGAAAACTTTAAAATTTCTTATTGATGTGATGTATAGAGGCGATAACCCGAGTCTTCTATAATCGACTCTCCGCGCATCCTGACCCCCATAGAGAAAAAAAGGAGGTGTTTGCATTTCGGGCATCTTGGAATTTTTTGATGACTTGATGACGTAGGTGGGTACAGTGTGAAGGGGACGTCCCTGTACCCAGCTGTACCCACCTACGTCATCAAGTCATCAAAATATTCCAAGATGCCCGAAATGCAAACACCTCCTTTTTTTTCTCTATGCCTGACCCCGGAGGTGGGCACGCGGCGACAGGAGGTTGTCTCAGTAAAATTAAGTTTACTCGCGAACCCCTTGACCAATTTTCAAAAACTTGAGCTTGTTTTAAAGCTTAGAGTATGCCTAATATGTGCCTTTTTACCGATTTGATTTATCTCTTTTCGTTCGGAAGATACAAGGTAGGGAAACTTACTTTTTGGATGACCCTCGTATATTTCTCGTGCGAATGCAAATGGCACCAAGAGCAAAGTAGGTAAGAGAGGTTATGTCGTCAGAGCATGTATAGAAATGAAAGATATTTTGTTAATAAAATGAAATTATGCAGTTTGAGAGGCGTCATCAGAATTACACTGAATGAGTGGGACACTCGATTTTTCAGCCAACGAACTTATTTCTAGCAAGTAATACCTAAAACATGGATCCGATTAAACGGAGCTGCGCTTTGTTTGTTAAAATTCACTCTAAAGACGTAAACCAAAAAAAACCCCGCAAAAGTGGTGCTTGCTGAACACAGCGAAGGCGAAATGCGGAGCGTCACCAGAATTCAGGACTCTGGCGAATACATATAATAAATTAATATAATATTGTATATTAAAGGAACAACCAGGCAACCATAACTTCAAACCTTGTCCCTCGCTGGGGGCTCTATTGTTCGTCGATCTTAATTCACATGATAAGTTCACCCCTGCTCACCCTCGCGGGAAGGTGCAATGTCGGCAGCATCTGCCTTATCGACGTTTGAGACCAAGTAGGGATATCTAACGGTTCGTCAACGCTGTACTGCGACTTGATCCTGCGTTCCGCGCCATCTATTGTCACCCTCCTAAAGCTCGAATTTCGCTCAGCAACTGATGATTTTGAGCAGTATAGACCAGCAGGGTCATTTGACATAGTTCTATTCTCAGGTTTTGAGTGACCGTGCCCATTATTTTTCGGAAATTCTTCGCGATATCGGTAACCTCAGGCGGCTTGAACAGCAGTCACTAAGACGGTTAAGAACAGAGCTTGAAGTTTCAGTGGAATTGGCTTTGAAATAGACAGCGCAATCTGTCGTTGATAGTGGAAAATAAGCTGGTCGAGTGGCGTCGTTCGAATGGCCGGGAGCTAGTTGTCATTGACAACAACTTCCGACTTGACACTCAAGAAGTTATCTGAATTCTACCGAAAAGAGATTTTTGTCCAAATGACTTTTCTTCTTTTTTTATTTTTAGTTGAAATTCAACAATTATTACTTAGAAGCTAAAACTTGAGGTGTCGAATTTAGATTGGTTTTGTCAAGTTGAGTCATTTCGTAGGTAAGTGTTATTTTTTTTGTCATTAGCTCTGATTTTGAGGTTCTTTGTGTTTTAGGTATAGGTAATAAAAGTAGATATATCAAGACTACCTAAGTATTTTGTGCATTTTGGATCAGGTACCTAGCGTCAGTTACTCCATGGATGCCTGTTAACGAGCTTCAACTATAATTTTCTGTGACATTCGAGCAACACCAAGGTCTGGATTTGGCTTCAAAGTTGTTTTGTCACTCCCAAATTAAATCGAGCGAATTATACCCAAAATAAAAAAAGAAAAGCCGTTTTAAACCAAAGCTGTAAAATAATATTAAAAAAGATAATTGCGTGTATCCTTGTTTCCACAATTTACAGGACCCATATAGCTACAGTGAAAGTCGATAAACAATTCCTTGTTCTGTCTTCACCTGTCCTTTTTTGGGTGGGGGAAGGGGGGGGGGTTGGCAATCAGCATGACTATAGGCAATGAGAAAAAAATTCTCTGTAAATAGTTGTAAAGGCCACAGATTATAGAAAGATATGATTCGTTGCAGTCATACTTTTTTTCTCTTTTTCTGTGCAGACCTTACATTGAACTGAGCCAAATATTACGTAAGGCAGAAAAGAGGGATCAACCCTCCTTCAACAGTTTACTATATTGTCGTTTTGGACTGCAGTATAATCAATTATAAAATTATATGTTTCTAAACAGATGTGTGTGAGGGTGTGTGTGTGTGTGAGGTGTACGTGTTGGTCCCCATATTTGTTAAAACATACCTAACTGAGAAACTGAGCGGAAAGGACAAAAAAGTTTTAACAAATCGAGACGATTAGGTAGCTGTGTACAGAGGTGGAAAAACGGCGTGAGTGGCAAAATTAATCAATTTTATGCCTATACTTATTTAATCTTGCTCAAAGTTTCAATTTTTCAAAATATATTGCCGAATAAAGTTTATTAGATCTAAAAGTCTGGATTTATATCCTCAGTAAGACACTCCTCCGGGATTTAATTTATTTGGTAGTTTATCATTTTAATGGAGATAAATTATTATGCTTACTTATCATTGATAAAAAGCAATTTAATTCCGTTTTATGGGAATATTAGATCGAAAAACTAAACGTACGTACCTATTGCTGAATATATGGAAGGTTAAAGTGCCAAGGGAAGGTAAAATCTGAATGGATTGTCACACTAAATCAATGTTTTACTGAAAAATAGTAGTTCAGGATAAATCAACGGTTAAGTCGGCAATCACATAATTCGGTTTGCGACGTCGCAGACTTCCTGTCATACTTTATTTTTTAAACGGAAAACTACTCAACGGCAATTCCTTAAAACTGCCGTTATTTTTCATCTCCGTACGAGGAAAATTCTGCAAAAACTTCAAGGAATGACGTCAATTTGTTCTCCTTTAAAAAAATAACATAGAGGCAGAGATTCTTAGACGCGCAAACGAAATATGTGATTGCGGACTTACGCCGTCGAAATATGAAAAAAAATGAGGATGGAGTGACTATGTTACTCCAAAAAGTAGTTTATTGGAGAACGGTGTACCTAACCCGCAACGGTTCACACTCCATGTTTCCATTTACTCATATTGAAGCGCAACATTTACTTTCAGGCTTGAGAAGAATAGTAATTACTCGAAATGGAGGAGAATGGTGGACCGTATTACTCCAGTGAATCAAGTCAGGTGCCAGGTCGACGCACGCCGCTTGGTGCAATGGGTTTAGGCAGTTACTACTATCCAAGTGGCTCTGGTGGGCTCACAGACGAAAATAGTCCAGAGTCACCTAATGCTCACCATTTAAGGTTGGTGGAGACTACTGAATCTTATTATATAAATGGATAATTTTACCTTGTTTTCAGCGTGCAGCCAAGTAGTAACTCTTTACTTACTGCGACGTTTCGCGCCACATGGGGGGCACTTTCAAGCAGGCTTTATACACATCACATTTATTACGTGAAAACTCAAAACTATTCGTAAAATAAAAGCAGGTTGAGTGTCTACGCGAAATGTTGAAATTAACGATTGTCCACGCGGAATTTTCTTACTATAGTAAAAAAATATAAGGCCTTTTTTGTGTGCACGTCCGTGTCATTTCGCATGCTCGTTGGTCTTTCATTAACCAATCAGAAAACTTCTTTGAAAATCCCCGGGAAATTTAAATGTATTCTTCCGTAAAGGAATTAATGATAGATAGACACGTATAAAAATGGGATGTATTTCTTCTAATTAACCAGGATAAAAGGGAGGAATATTACCTATATAGGATAGTCCTGGAAAAACGGGATGTACCTATATTAATAAACCGGGATAACAGGAAGGATATCGATCTTTGTGTATCGATCTTCGATACATCGTTTGTTCCAAAGCAGTATTGACTGGGATAAAACGGGATTTCTTCATGATAACCGGGATAAAAGGGAGGGATTTTACCTATACAGGATAGTCATGGATAAAACGGGATGTAACTATATTAAGAAACCGGGATAACAGGATATCAATCTTTATATATCGACATTGGAGATATCGTTTCATTTAAAGGAGTATTGACTGGGACAAAAGGTGATTTACGGGATTTCTTCATAGTGACCGGGATAATACCCTGGTAAAAATGGCAAGTGCTCAGATCAGTAGCACTTGCCTTTGGAACAGACCTAAGCACTGATGTCAGTGCTGCCGGGCGCTGATCTGCTACCTCAGTGTTAGGTCTGTTCCAAAGGCAAGTGCCTCTGATGTAAGTGGCACTGACTTAAGTGTCTCAGACGTAAGCGGAGTGGAAACTCCCAGAAATACTGTACAGGCAAAAATTTCGTTAATTACCGTTCTGCCAGGTACGTTAAGTCACTATTTGACGATCAGGGAGGGCTGC